GGTTCCGGAAATTGCGGTTTGGTCGATCTAGTGTGAGGACGCACATGCTCCGTTGAACTTTCATCGACAATAAAACGTTAACGCCTAGACATGTGAACACAAACACCAGTGCCCAAAAAGAAACACCAGTAGTAGAAAATTTATAACTTAGTATAGATTTTATTTAGGTTTATGTTTGTTAAATATAAATAAATCTATAACTAAGATATACATGATCAATGGGTATGAATTTTTTACTACAGTTTAATTATACAATAATTAGCTCACCATAAAAATTTATCACAATTGAACCATAGAAACTGCAGCTTATGAGTTATTCCAGCTTAATTATACAAAAGCATATATTTAAAGTCACAAAGAAAACATTGTACTAAAGCGCACTATATTATATGTTCACTCGTAGTAGATCTACTCATGTAGAGTCCAACAAAATTGGATTTTCTATTTGATGATTTTTCTGTGATTTATTATTATTTTTCAAAGATTCAGCCGAAATAAATAAATAAAAAAAACAAAAAGACAAAACCGTCTTCAAAACTGCTTATAACAGGGGCAGGGAGGTAAGATGAACGGTTTTAAAAGTTGAGGGAGGTGTTTTGCCCGGTTTTAGAGTTCAATGAGGAAAAGTGGACTTCTGCGAAAGACGAGGGAGGTGATGTGGACCTTTTCCTCCACAAACCACCTCGCTGCCCCGCCTAATCATGGGCATAACGGCTTACATGCGCGCACACATGGGCCGCCGGTCTCCGCCAAGTACGGACGACCACGCCGGCCCATCCGCACTCGTCCTATCACGATCACTACGAAAATTCCATTTTTGCCCTCCGTAACTATTGCCATAGTCCATGCTTTCTTATCTGGAACCCCTTTTTAATTAAAAATTATTCTTCACTTGATAAGATTTATAAACCACAAAAACATATTTAACCATCTAAAAATTTCAATAAAAATCTTAAGGACAGATTGGGACACAAGAAACCGAAATACGTATTTACATTCATGAAAATATATATAGAAACTTTCAAAAATTCGATTGACCTCTGCAAAAATAGGAAAGTATATAACAAAAAAATATTCTTGAAAACTCCCAAAACATTGTACCACTGTCTAAATGTGTTTTTAAAACTTTCAACAACAAGAATAATGAGTGTAACCAGCTTGAATGCAACATACATTCATGCTTTATACACTCGTGGTTTGTTTTGGAAAGTTCTTAAATGTACTTAGACATTGATTAGAATATTTTGTGAGATTTCTTGACATTTTTTCTATTTTCTTAGAGATAAATCTAATTTATGCAGGCTTCTAGATATATTTTCATGAGCTCTAAATTTTTGTTTGGGCCTTTTGTATCCCAATCTATTTCTAAGATTTTCTCGACCTCTAAAGAAACAACTAGAGACAGAGATGTCAATACATAAAACGGTTATAATAGGTATAGAGATATCGACTCATGTTCGTACAGGATGGCTAGGGCTAGGATATAAGGATTATAAAATGTTAAAAGCTAGATTGCTAAAAGACAGTGTACAAGTTGAACCTGTATCCCCTACAACTTTTAGGTCTTTTTTATAGGTGTGTTTGGGAGCAGTGGCGGATGCAGAACAGAATTGAAGGGGGGCTGGTCTCTTCTTCTTCCTCTCTCTCTCTCTCTCTCCATATTTCTTCTTTCCTCCACCTCTTCTTTTCCCCCCACCCTCCCCATATTTCCATTGATGCTCCAGATGTAGGGGGGCTGGAGCCCCGCCCCAGCCCCCCCTGTAGATCCGCCCCTGTTTGGGAGAATTCAACTCCACAAAATACAGTTCACTCCACCGAATCCACGTCAAACGCTCCAGCTCCACAAAAATGTGGAACGTAGGGGCTAGGTCCAATGATTTGGTGGAGCTCCCGAAGGGGTGCTCCAAAAAACTAGGTGTCATACCTCCTCCTTGAGTTGGGAGGTAATTACCCATCGTACCACTAGTTTCACACCCCAATCCCCGTACCACTTCATTTCTGTTTCCTGTCACCCCCTACCCAAGGCGCTCTTTCTTGTGCAAGTTGAACAATGTAGGCCCCTCATGTAACCCTAGGCATCGCGACCCCGATCACGACAGTTTGAGGACTTCAGTGACTTGGAGATGACCCGACAAAAGCATATTCCTCTAGTGATGCTCCACTAAATCCTGCATTTTCTCCTCAATTTCTCTTCCTCGCGCTGCCTGTCTCCTCCCACGACAACAAGCCATGGTGTGAAGCGTGATGTTGTAATCCATAAACTGTGGGGTCTTACAAGCCATTCGAGGTGTGCAAAGGGTGCCAACTTTTAATATTGTTATATAGTTTGGTAGTTCGATTATAAAAGCTGATCTACATAACTAGAACTTTTACAATGTGCAATCCACGAGCTCTAGGGCCAAAATAGGGCTTTATGAACAATGTTTTGCTACAGTTGACACTATACTCCAACGACGCCTATCAGATACTCCGTGTGTCCCAAATAATTATAGTTAATTTTGTCTTAATTTAGCCTAAGTCAAACTTCTCCAACTTAATTCTAATTTATAGAAAAATGTACCAAAATCTAGAACATCAAATTAGTTTTATCGAGTTCTCCATGAAATATGTTTGACGCATCATTTAATTAAACTTGTATATGTTTATTTTTCTCTAAACTTTGTTATAGTTAGAGAAGTTTAACCTAGGATACAATACTAGAGTGAAGTATAGTAATTTCAAATTGAGGAATAGTTAATTATGGCGTTTTACATGAATGACCTTTAAGAAAAAAAAAAACTTTAGCTGTATATTGTCCACGTAATCGATTCTTCCGAAAGCAAATAGGATCAATTGACCGTACGTACCCTATATAGCCAGGAACCGGCAACGTAGTCAATAAAGCGAAGCGTAACATCCTATGTGTGGACTTGTGGAGAAGCTTATATATCCTCAGCAGATTTGAAGCCTATCCATAGCGTAACAACCTACCAACGACATGCACGTCCGTCCACAAGACGTCCCGTACACATTCGTATTTTTGCACGCGGAATTACGTACGTGACGGCACGTATACTACGCGTAAAGCTGCTTCCAGAAATTTCTGGAGGCCCTCAGCTAGCCGTATGTCGCCGCTGTTTTTTGTGTATAAAAGCTACCAAAGAGGCCCGTCCTGAACCCAACTACTGGCCCCTTCGGCCGGAGGCCTTTGCTTAGCTGTTAACTACTACTAGCTGCTCCACACCATCTGGATCTGGTCGCAATGGACCAGCTTCTCGTCCTCCTCTTCCTCCTCACCATGGCCGCGTCCACCTGCCTCACTACCACGCTCACACCGGCGGGTCCACAGCCGGTGGAGGCCTTCCTCGTGTTTGTCGTGTGGGCTCTGGCGTCGACGGCGCTCGCGGTGCTCCTGCCGCGGCGGCGCCGAGTGATGAGCTCCCCGACCCACGGCTGCCGCCGTCTCCTACCCCACGCCCTTCCGTACATCCATGTTTGTCTTCTTTACCCCGGCGGCCATCCCTTTTTTTTTTCTTGGGCTCGTGCCGTCCCCTGACGACACGCGCGGCTGTTCACCGGCGAGGCGGCGACCCACACGTGGATCGAGCTCGATCGCCGGACTTTTTTTTCCCCTTCCTCGCTTTCTTCAGTTCTATACACTGTACGCTCCGACGTCGTTCCTTGTTGGAGTTGGGGGCACGATGCAGAGAGTTGCTGAAAGACTGAGAGTTGGACATGCAAGGGTCACCTTCGTACGTGATCTGATGCTCCAAATGGCCAAGATCAGTCGACGCAACGCTTCTCTGAATAAACTATCCATGGACGACAAGGAACTGCTCTCGACCCGTCGACCGTGCTACATATACGGTTGTACACCTGTACCCACGCCCACTATATATCTACGCCGCCTCTAACAATTGTATCCGTCCACATATCTATATTTTTATATATACTAGGTAAATGATTGTGCGTTGCAACGGGAACACGTAATACCACGATAACATATGTATACCTTGATGGCCTGAATGTTGGTTTGTGGACCTTCGTCACCCACTCCAGCTTCAACGAGTCATCCACTGAAAACAAAAAAGATTAGAAGATTAAAAGAAACCTCTACTCAAACCAAACAGAAACAGAAGATCAAAAGAAACACTGAAAACATTTTAACTTGGCTTTACGGAAGGGAGGGAGAGGCGGCGGCGTGGGCGATCGCGGGGTGAGGACGACGGCACGGGTGCAAACAGCGACGTTAACGTCGCGTGTGTGACGATGTGTGCCACGAGGGCCTTCTCGGCGTCCGTGTCGGACGGTGGGCCCTCATGCCAAGGTCCTTGTGGTGGTGGGAGAGCCGGGGTGGTCGACGGCGTTGGCCGGCTCCGCGACGTCCAGCCGGTTGTACCTGGAGTTGGCGTTGGTGGCGGCCGACAAGCTCTCGGATGCAGGTCGATGCCCCGGGAATGCACGTAGGATCTCTGCGAGGTGAGGTGCGACGTGGACGCCCTGACGGAGCTGGGCGCGCACGGGACCACCCGTTGGTCGCTCCTGTTGTACCACGTCGGCCCGAAGCCGCCGCCGGTGTGCAGCGTCGTCGGGCGGCTCAATGCGGAAGCCCGGCACGCTGTCTTCCAGCGAGCTGTAGTGGTGGTTGGTGCTCTTCTAGTTGGCGCGCAATGGCGAGGTCCTGAGCTGGCGCGGCGCCCTTGGAGTCGTCTCTTCCCGGATTGACGGATACAGAGCCCTTGCCTCCTATGCCCGCTGTTTTTTGCCTGCTGGCCTCCTGGCCTCGGAGCTTGGCGTTGTATTCCTTGCAGGGCGGGTACTTGGGCAGGCTCGCCTGATCACACGCCAACGGCTTGGTCCTCGCTGTCCAGGCCACCGTGCCCCGTGCCGACGGCTCGATGGCGAGCAGCGTGTCCAGGAGCGCCAGGGCAGTGGGGGAAAGTCCTGAACGTCTCCACGATCTTGCGGCGGTACGGCCGCTGCGGCTTGAAGAGCGTCACGTCGGGTAGTTTCGCCTTCGCCTAGTAGTCCTCGGACAGCGAGCCGCAGAGCTTGAAGATCCTGTGCAGCTGCTCGATCTCGGTCTGGCCGGGCATGATGGACTTGCCCGCGAGCAGCTCGGCGAGGATGCAGCCGGTGTTCCTCAGGTCCACGGCGACGCGGTACTCGGTGGGGCCGAGCAGGAGCTCCGGCGGGCGGTACCAGAGCGTGACGACGCGGCTGGTCATGGGTTGCGTCTTGCCGGGGTCGAAGAAGGTGGCGACTGGCGAGCCCGATGTCGGCGATCCGTAGCATGCCGTTGTCGCCGATGAGGACTTGAGGAGGTTGGAGCCCTTGATGTCCCGGTGCAAGACTCCGCGCGCGTGGCAGTGGCGCAGGCCCTCGAGGATCTGGCGCATGAAGCACTTGACCTGCGGCTCCGTGAAGCGCTGCCCGGACAGCGCGGCGAGGCCGGCGAGGTCGTGCTCCATGTACTCGAAGACGAGGTAGAGGCGGTGCGAGAGGCACGAGGTGACGATGCCTTCCAGCTTATCACGTTGGGGTGGTCAAGCCGCCGGAGGATGTGGATCTCCCGCAGTCCCGCGCCATGAACCGCACGCTCTCCGGGTCCATGTCGACGAAGCGCACCCGCTTCAGCGCCACGATCTTGACGCTCTGCAGGTCCCGCGCCTTGTACACGTTGCTGTACGTGCCCTGCCCGATCTTGTCCAGCCACTCGAACGTGTCGGCACGGCGGGGCAGCCACCCTCGCGATCTCTTCGGCGACGGACGTCAGCCAGGAGGGCCATCCGGCGATGACGTGCTCGCCGGAGAACCCCTGCGGCACGCTGGAGATCACCTGCTGCGCCTGCGTGCCGCCGCCACAGTCCGCGGCCGCGCTGCTGTTGTCCCCGCCGATGTCCACCGTGGCGCACCGGTGGTGCGTGGGCGCCCCGGTGGGGCTGTAGGATTTGCTGAGGGACGTGATGACCACCACGGGAGGCGCGGTCATCTCCACGGCCTCTTTGGCCAGAGCGGGCACGACGATGCCGCCGTTAGCCTTGGCGTCGGCGTGCACGACGACAGCGTCCTCCTCCTTGGCGGTGAGCGTGATGAGCTGCTTGAGGGACTGGCTTGACGCCTTCTGCAGGTGCGCCACGGGGTGCGGGGCGGCAGGCGGCGCCTCCACATGCCCTCCTTGGAGCAGAGTCCGCCCATCGCCGACGGACGGCGGCCACCGCGAGCGTTCTCGCCAAATCGATGCCGGCGACGCATGGAGGAACGAAAACGCGCTAGGTTGGACGGCGGGGTTCGATGCTGGTTCATGAGTCACGACGCATTGGAAACAAAGGATGTGGTGGTGCAGGCGGTCAGCACGGCGCGATGATGAGGGACTGAGGTAGAGCTGCGACTGGCGATGGACGAGGGATCGAGGGCGTCGAGGGCGCGGGTCAAGGCGCGATCGCGTAACTGGTGGCGCGCGGTGATCGCGGGGTTAATGCCGTGGAACTGCTCCTCCGTTTGTTAGGGTGATTGATTTTTTTCCCGTGGAGCCGCTCGCCCGGTTGTTACGTGATTGATGATTTGACTTGCCTTGCTGTCCATGGATTTCCTTGCATGTTGCGCGGGGGAGCCGGAGGGGAAGAGAGCGCGAGGGATGCACGGTTTGTTTCCTTCCTTTTGAAATCAAGGGATCGAGGTTGGTATGATTTGACTTGCCTTGCTGTCCATGGATTTCCTTGCATGTTGCGCGGGGGAGCCGGAGGGGAAGAGAGCGCGAGGGATGCACGGTTTGTTTCCTTCCTTTAGAAATCAAGGGAGAGAGGTTGGTGTCGCACCCGGGGATGCATGGGAGCGAGCGGCTTTGGTGTCGCACCTATGGACGAAATAGTTATGAATATTTTAGTTGTAGAGATTGGTATATGATATAAGGTGCTTCCACTCTTCCTTGTGTTTTGCCTTAATCTAGTGTATGATCGATTAGTCTCGAACTCTCGTTTACTTTCACCCATAATTTTCCTTCTTTTCACTACCCTAGAACATCACATCAACCGGCTGCAGTGATGGGTTTTCCAGAAAACCAAAAACGGGCTGAAAAAATAGTAACTTACTAAATACTAGAAGAGACCTGACTGAACATAGAAACTATTTTTTTTTGTTTAGATGGCGTCCTAATTAATAAACATAAAAACTATGTGGTTTCTGGGTTGCTGATGTCCTATCTGCCGTGGATATGATGCGGTTGTTGGCAGGACGGTGCACGTAAGTCAGGGCAGGGACCGCCACCGCTTGTGTCGTGTGGTCAATGGTCAGTGGTTCTCGTTTGCCCTCGACCAATAAATAAGTATTCCCTCCATTCTCAATTATAAGTTATTCCAACTTTCTCAGAGAGTCAAAACATCTTAAGTTTGACCAAATTTATATAATAAAATAATATTATTTATAATATCAAATAAGAATAATTAAATTCTTCATTGATTATATAGTATAGCTATTTGATGTCATAAACCTTTGAAATTCTCTCTATAATTTTGGTCAAACTTAAGATGCTTTGACTCAAATAGAATAATTTATAATAATTTGGAATAGAGGGAGTATTAGAAATTTAGGCATTTTCATGTTAAAATTAATCTAGAAAAATAATAATAAATTTGTGATGACAAATATGTGCACAGTTGTGATTTTACTACTGCTCAGATTAGTAGCAAATATGTTCATAAACAACATATTGATTATAGCGAAAATGAGAATGAATTTAACCAATTTGAGAATAGAGATTGACCCTACGGACGGACCCATGCTCAAGGCACCGGTGGCTCCAGTCCCACTCATGGTGAGTTGCTCGAAGTCGCAGACCACAGTCGGTGTAGGAAGATATACGCACACTACGCCAGATTTGGACATCACTGCCAGCCTCATCACTGTCGAATTTGTGAGAACCGGCAGTGATGTACCTTCACTGCCGATTATGAGCTCGAAAATGAGAAAATAATTGGGGCTGGGCTAAAACCGACAGTGAAGCACCACATCACTACCGGTTTGTGGCTTGAACCGGCAGTGTTTTGGCGGCCACTCATCACTGCCGGTTCAAGCCACAAACCGGCAGTAATTGGGCTCTATCACTGTCGGTTCTAGCCAAGAACCGACGGTGATAAGCCTATAGCACAAAAAGACTGCAGCCGTCCTCTTCTTCCGCCTCTGTTCTATCCCGAGAACAGAGACACGCGTTTGGGCCCTTCCCTCCATTGTTGCGGCTGCTCTTCACCATGAAGCTAGCGCTTGGATTTTGAAGAATGGCTTGATCTTTTTGCTTTAAGGTTAGTAACAAACATCCACTCCTTTGATTTTGTTGCTTAATTAGCTTCGTTTTGATGGCTACATTGCTTGATTCTCATTCTAGTTCTTTCTCCATTCTAGACAGTACTTTTCCAATTGGACATTTGTGCAAGGCTCAAATTATGGTGAATCCATCATCCAAACGGTTCGTGTGTATGAACACATTTAAATTCCTAGTTAATTATTCTATGGTGGTCAAGATCATCATTGTTGGTATGTGATGCTATAATTACTCCTTAGAAGTAGAGTAGAATAGTTGTTCTTCAATATTGTGCAATAATTGTTTTTTACTACGATTTTCAATTTATAGGGCCAGGGCTACCAATTTCAATTTTTCAATAATTAGTGTCCAATAATGTTTTCCAAAAATGGTACTTTCGAGCTACAATTGTTGTTCATGAAGCTCGATTTCTTATTAATTCTTTGTAATTACTGTCTCAGTATTTTTTTGTATAGAGATGGATCGAGAGTGGATGTATCTGTCCCGAACGGACAAGCGGTACATGCATGGCGTCAGCCAGTTTATCACCGATGCCAAAGCCCATGCTGGGAATGTGAACCTTGTCTTCTGCCCATGCAAAGATTGCAAGAATCAAAGGAACTTTCGTCAAATTGAGTCTATACGATCGCACTTGATTACCAGGGGGTTCATGCCAAACTATACGATATGGACTATGCATGGCGAGGTTGGTGTGAATGCTCTGCAGGAAAACGATGATGATGTGGACATGCCTAACGTAGCCATCCACGATGGTGATGAGGAACCTGGTGTCAACACGGAACCTATGCCCACAGTTAATAATGTGTTTAGGAACACGCTAGCTGACGACACCGAGGATAACGATGGCATTTCTTAGCTGCTACGTAATGTAGAGACCGGATGTCTTAGTGAAAGACAGCTGAGAAAGCTAGAAAAAATGAGACAAGATGACAAAACATCATTGTATAGGGATTGTCCAATGAGCAAACTGGAAGCCGACATCATGCTGTTAGAGTTCAAATCGACAAACGGATTGAGCGATAAAGGATTCGATCAGTTGTTAGGTATAATAAGGAAAATGCTCCCAGAAAAAAAGGAGTTGCCAGAAAAGACATACTTGGCCAAGCAAATGATCTGCCCCATCGGCCTCGAGGTTGAAAAAATCCACGCGTGTTCCAATGATTGCATATTGTACCATGGAGAAAAATACAAAGACTTGGACAAGTGCCCCAAGTGTGAAGCTCCACGGTACACGGAAGGGCCATCGAATGAGGGTACCAAGACCAGAGGAGGTCCCATAAAGGTCGTTTGGTATTTCCCTATAGCTCCCCGGGTGCATAGGCTATTTGCATGTGCAAAGTCAGCCAAGCTATTGCGCTGGCATGGCGAAGAGCATAAGAAAGATACAATGATGAGGCACCCCGCCGATGGGCATGACTGTTGGACTATCAATACTATGTTCTATAAGGACATCGGTGGAGAGGTAAGACACCTTTGGTTTGCTTTGAGCACAGATGGGATGAATCCTTTCGACCAGGTTAGAAGCAATCATAGCACCTGGCCAGTGACGCTCTATATATACAACCTTCCATCTTGGGTCTGTATGAAGCGGTCGTACATCCAGATGCCACTACTGATCCAAGGGCCAAGACAACCTGGGAATGACATCGATGTGTTTCTAGAACCAGTGATCGATGAACTAGAGGAGATGTTTGAAAAGGGTGTGCCGGATGTTTGGGACGAGTACAAAAAGGAACATGTCACGATCAAGGGAGTACTTATCGCTACAATCACCGACCTGCCAGGTCGAGGTTTGTTGTCCGGAGAGAAGACAAAAGGCTATACTGGATGTGTCGAGTGCTTGAACGACACCGATGCGGTAAATCTGCCAAATAACTCAAAGATAGTTTATATGGGACACCGTAGGTTCCTACATAAGGATCACCCATACCGCGGGAACAAAAAAGATTTCAACGGTACTATTGAGAAACGCTTAGCTCCAAAATATCGAGACGGGCCTACGATACTTCGAGAATTCAACAAACTAGAGGTTATCCTTAGGAAGGGGGACAATGCAGTAGCAGCGCCTGATGGGAGCATTTAGAAGAAAAAATCTATATTCTGAAAACTACCTTACTGGCCATTTCTAAGTGTATGCCACTATCTTGATTCCATGCACATCACTAAAAACGTGTGCGCTAACACTCTTAACACCTTGATGGACACCGGGGGGGGGACATCGAAGGATTCACTAGCCACACGCCTGGACATGCAACACTTGGGAATCAGGAAGGAGTTGCATCCCGTGGAGCTAGAGAATGGCCAGTTCGAACTTCCAGTTGCGTCATGGACATTGAAAAAGGAAGAAAAGCGTGCGCTTATTTCTTTCTTCAATGAACTCAAAGTCCCGACGGGCTACTATGCGAACCCGAAGAGGCTAGTGAACATGAGAGAACTCAAGTTCAACTATGGCCCTATGAAAGCCCATGACTGTCATGTCATTATGACTCAGCTGCTCCCTATTGCCCTGCGGGGTATCCTCCCCCCAAAGGTTCGCGCCCCAATCATAAAGCTTTGCTCGTTCTTCAACGCGATCTCAAAAAAGGTCATTGATGTGTCCACGCTAGAGCAGCTGCAGCGGGACATAGCTGAAACTCTTGTTAGGCTTGAGATGCATTTCCCGCCGACTTTGATATCTCATTGCATCTGCTCATTTATCTTGTTGACCAAATTAGAGCCCTTGGACCAATGTACCTGCATCAGATGTTCCCTTTTGAAAGATTGATGAAAGTTTTCAGGAGGTATGTTAGGAACAGATTCAGGCCAGAAGGGGGCATGGTTGAAGGATGGTCAACGGAGGAGGCCATTGAGTTCTGCACATATTATCTAGACATCAAAAGGGTCGGAGTTCTAGAATCTCCTCACGAGGGAAGACTACGTGGCAAAGGAATGATTGGGGAGAAATCTATTATAGTAGACGACCCTGTTTCTTTCAGACAGGCACAGTTCGCTGTTCTCTAGCAAGCCGAGGGTGTGATGCCATACATTAACGAGCATAGGCAATCACTGCAAACTCTGTATCCGAGCAAGTCACAGGCTTGGCTAGATAAAAAACATAAGGAGGAATTTGTCAACTGGTTGCGACGTCGCTTGCTTGGAATAAAGTTGGGTAATCAACTGGATGCCTTAGCCAAGGGACCTTCGAGTACATATCTTAAGTACCAAGGGTATGAGATCAATGGATTCACATTTTACACAAAAAAGCAAGATGGAAAGAGCACATACCAAA